TAGCTTTTCCTAGCAATTTTTAAGGATGAGGATGGATGAGTTCTCTAGATACGCAACTAAGCTGAACAACCTATAAGGGAAATATAGAAGCACGAGTTAAGCAAGAACCTGAGGGTACGAATGCCATCGAGGCTAAATCTATTCTCCTCAATGCTCACCCCAAAGGAAGGAACTTAGTCTACTAGTGATTGGTCTTGAGGTGATTGTCGAACATGTACAAACTTCATTGGAGCACATTGTAACACCGCTATACTTAACCTACAGTGATTCCGCTCTAATGATGCCATGTCATCTTATTTTGCTAAGCTTAACTGCCCCTTGATAAAAATCAAATTTAAATCCAAATTCAAATTGCAACTCAAATTAATATTTCTTCAAATAGTAAAACTAAAATGTTTGCATAATTCTGAAAACTGCCCTTATCATTTGTAATGTTGAAACCAACATCATTTGACTCATCAATCAATCTGTAGGAAATTTTAAAGTGATCCACATCATATTACTTGATCTTTTCAATTTCTGAAAATATTTAGACTTCACAAAATATTCTGAAACTTTTTTTTGCAACACCACAATATGTGCATGAATTATGTGCCAAGTTTCATATATAGAAAAAACTATTTTGATGGACTAACTAAAGGCAAAACACTAAAGGATTAATGTAACAGAAAATAGAAAAAGAAAATGGAAAAGACTAACTGTTCGATTGGGCCGCAAGTGCACATCCCAGCCCAACATCGGTTGTCCCCTACCTCTGTTCACTAGAGGTTGTGTGGACGCCACGCGCACGTCCGTGGTCATGGACGGCCACCTGCCGAGCATCCAGCCCCTCCCCAGTGCCTTACAAGACCCCCTTGATCGCATGGACAAAACCCTAGCCCTCATTTCCGCCTCCTCATGCCCCTCTCGTCCACACCGCGTGCAAGCAAAGCCCTGTCGCGATGGCCCCTGTCGTCTGTGTGCTCCCCGTCGACTCCGCCACCTGGATCCGTGTCCAGTAGACGCGCTGCA